CAACACGTAAAACAGCTTAGTTACCCCTAGCAAGTTTGTTCAAGGTGTTGAATAAATCTCAACCTTAAAGGACAATGCTCTTCTGACATCAGTTTCTGGACAACAAAGCATTTGGAGCTCTGCTGTTCACGTGGACTCTGCTCTTTTGTGATTATTCTCATTGCTGCATTTATCAATGGTACTTTCTGTTTGGCCTTAGTTTTTATGAGACATGGTTTAATATGCAGTCCTGGCTGGCCTGGAACAAATTTAGTAGTCCAAATTAGTATAAAACCTGTTGCAATCCTCCTGCCTGAGCATCCCAAGTGCTAGGAATTACAGGCATGAGCCCACATGACACCCAGTATTAGGTTTTTAAAAATTATTTCCTGAGTAGTTAGGATTTTGTTTATGGGTGTATTATAATAGCTATTGAAATGCATCGAGATTTAGACTGTCACCATTTCTGAGATATTGTAAATAAAGCATTTATGGACAGTATCATCAAAGTGTCTTATGGATATCTGTTTTCAGTTCTTTTGGGTAAATACCGAGAAACAGAATTATTTTATTATAAGGTGAGTACAAAATTGACATTATATACTGTCTAGGAGTTCTCATGGTATCTTTGCGATTTCACACTTCCACTGGCAACAGAAAAGAGCTCTCATTTCACATGCTTCCTTAACACTTGCTTCAAGGCCTAACAAATGCATTCAAATATTTCCAAGCGGCTGGCCAGAGTCCTTTTACCCTACTCAGAAATCACAGACAGGAAAGAAGTTCATCCTAAGAACTAGCCTTTGGCAGTTATTGTAATCCTTGACAGCAGAAGGCAGCAGTAGATGAGCCCAGGAACAGGTGGTAGCCTCTACTGTTACAGCTCTTGTGCAGGTTTCTGGTAGCAAGACTCTTAACCCTGCAAGTGTTATGATCCCCGGGCAGGCTTTAGGTGTTGGAATAAACCTTGAGCGAACACTGCCAGACCCTGGCTAAGAAACCTTTCTCCTTGAAAGCTTGCTGGAATGCCACTATGCTTAAATTCCATCCTGTTGCCAGGCATGTTGATGGACACCTTTAATCCTAGCATTTAGGAGGCAGAGGCAGGCAGACCCCTGAGTTCAAGGCTAGACTTTTTACAGAGCAAGTTCCAGGACTATGCAGAGAAACCCTGTCTCAGAAAACCACAGAAACCAAACAAAGAGCTCCAGTCCTTTTTCTCCTCACTGCCATTGCCAAACTCAGTTGCTCGCTATGCCTCTGCATCCTGATCACCTAGGCAAGGCAGTTCTAAAGACAAACCAGGCTTGTCTGGACAAACAATTCCAGGGGAAGAAACTGCAGGCTTTCATGCAGCCTCAGCAGTTGCATTACCCAAACCTCCTGGATAAGCCCCAAGTATCCTCTTTCTCTGTTTGAAGATAGCAGTTTCCTGCTGTGCCTATCCCTCAGTGTTTGAAATAAACAGTCCCATCTGCTGAGGTCAGGCTGGTCTCTTTTCTGCCTCCTGTCTCTTAAACCGCCACATAAATTTAACACTGTACTGCTTCAGAAATCTAAGATTAGGTAGTGGAATCCTTACTTCTACAAGTTTCATGGCTCTTGGGTAGGTCTACAGTACCAGGGTCCTTGGTGTTACAAGGATTATGAGTCTATGATAGGCTTAGAAAATCAAGATTCCTTAGTCAGGGACAGTAGTCAGCACTGAAGATTCTAAGTAGGGAGGAGTCTGAGTTCTCACCCCATGGTGAGAACTCCTGGGCCCAGGCCATTTAAGGGCACTGGCTTAAACTCAAGAACTCTTCCAATAACCAAAGCCTGCAGCTACTCTTTGATTATTTTTAAAATAATTCTGTATTACATTAGGGAGAGACAGAGGGCGAGAAAGAGGGGGAGAAGGAGAGGGAGGTGTGTTGGAGAGGGAAAGTGTGTTTAGAGTATGTGAGCACATGCACTACTTTGTGCTTTGGCAGTCAGAGAACAACTTATAGAAGTCAGTTTTCAGTGGGATGTGGTGGCACACACCTGTAATCCCAGCACTTGGGGAAGCAGACATAGGTAGGAGGATATCTGTGAGTTGGAGGCCAGCCTGGTCTACAAAGCAAGTCCAGGACAGCCAAGGCTACACAGTGAAACCCTGTGTTGAAAAACAAAAACAAAATAAACAAAAAAGGAAAGAAAGAAAGGAGTCAGTTTTCTCTTCTACCATGTGGGTCCCAGGGATTGATTGGAGCAAGCTCGTTTTACCTACTGAGCCATCTCACACAGCCAGTCTGTTTGGTTCTTTACAATCTTCTATTCCTCTTTCGTTATGACAGAGCCAGCTATTTTACCATTCTTGCTTCTCATCTCCTCCTCTTCTGCTGTGAAGGATCAGGCTGCTCTGTCATTTCTATGGCTTGATATTCAGGCTGTTTTGCTGCCGCAGCTACTTCCACTTGGTTGCTTTTATCATTGCTGCTGCTGCTGCGCTACATCTGCTTCTAGAAGTGGGTAAGAAAAGACCATTGGAGAGAAGCCTTTTATTGGCTCCAAAGTTGCAGCAGCAAGGGATGCAGTGTGTGTGTGTGTGTGTGTGTGTGTGTGTGTGTGTGTGTGTGTGTGTTTCAACAGGGGTGGGTGGTCTATCCCAGCCAGCTCACTAACTGAGCAGCCAGCTTCTAAATCCAAAGAAATGGTGTTTGCACCATTCACCGCAAACCTCACATGTAAATGAAGGTTTGATCAGCATCTTCCCTTTTGTACCATATATAGAAGTCCTTTGGCTGGACCACCAGAGGAAGTGCTCCCTTTATGGCCTAAGTAGAAATGGTTACAGGCTCATTTAGTGTCCACAAAAGCTTGAAAAAGCACAAAGTCCTATATACACTGCTTTAAAGCACCCTGATTGGCGCTGGATCTTCAGAAACCAATGCAAACGCCTGTGCTCATTGTGCAGTTTCCTCAAGGTATATGTGGAGTGTAAAAAATAGTTACTACTTACATAAGAATAGTCCAGCTGTCTGTCTGTCTGTCTGGCAATCCTTTTGCTCAAGGCCTACAGAACAGAAAGTGACAGACTAACAGCTGGCAGCTGGGAAGTCAAGCTTCCCATCCGTCAGCATTTCTGCTTCTTACTGAACAATGAACACCAGAAGCCCTTCTTACAAGAACTTAAAGATTTTATCGTTAATGTTAATAACGGTTTCAACAGCACTTTAACAGTTCTTAACACGTGGCCACCAAAGAGCAGTGATCATTCGTCTCTCAGAGACATCAGTGGAGTAAAACAGTTGTAATTAGACATGAAGGATATGATAGAAAAAGAGAAGCTATAAAACCCAACTTTCACTTCTGTCTGTGTCGCAGATTGTAGAAAAGGGTGTCTCTAACTGAGGTGAAGAATAGCACCTGACTAGCGTTTAGGAGGTCTTGGGTTAAATCCCTAGCACTTCTAGATGAAAGACAGTAATGAATTCTCTCTCTCATTTCTCTCTCCCTCCTTCCCTTTCATTTTCTCTCTTTCTCTTTCTCCCTACCATAGGAGGGAGAGTCACTTGGAGAATCACTATCAATTACCAGTCTATAGTTTCTTATATATGAACCAAAGAAAAGGACGTGAACAAATTCTCACACATCACCAAAAGATAGAAATAAAGGTTTTGCTCTGAATTGTGCAAGCACATGTTATTTTCACATTACTGTTGTCTTCATCATAATTTAGAACCATATGTAAAACTTTGTTCAGGGCTGGTGATATAATTAGCAGTAGAGTCCGTATTTACCATGAAGGAAAACCTGGGTTTGGTCCCCAGTACCCCAAAACCAAGCTAAACAAATGATCAAAAAATGCCAGGGAGACAGCAAGCTTAATGACCAGAGTTCTATCCTGTGATACCACAGTGGAAGAAGAGACACTATTGCTGAAGGCTGACCTCTCCCCTTTACACACTTGGACTCACATACATAGTATACACATGTAATAATGATAATATACATTATACTAAATTAGCATACATGTTAAATGGTTCAATTTTTTAAACTTCCAGCCTGATGTGCAGAAGGGTGTGCCTCAGAAACAATAGGTGAAGCCCCTGACAATCTTCAAATTTTGACATACAATATTCTGGGTTTTGTTTCTTCATTTTAAAAAAGGAAGCCATGGCTATTGAAACTACTAAGTGAAAGTACAAAAGTTCCATCCAGGGACTGGAGAGGTGGCTGAGTGGTTAAGAGCACTGGCTGTTCTTCCAAAGGTCCTGAGTTCAATTCCCAGCAACCACATGGTGGCTCATAACCATCTATAATATGATCTGGTGCCCTCTTCTGGTCTGTAGGCACATATGCAGACAGAATACTGTCTGCATGCATGCATGTATATGTATGTATAAGTAAATAAAATATTTTTTAAAATTGTATGCAAATGAATAGTCAAAGTTGCTTCACTTCATTGTTTCCTTACAGTTAATGAAAGTGGTTATGGACCCACAAAACAAGTTTTGTATGAAGTGTGAGCTCAACATCAAAACATTCCTGACACTGATTAACAAATGCTGGCTATTTATATCATTCACCTATGTTCTACAAGCAGGCTCATGCCATAGATGCTAGAGCTGTGCACCCAGCAAACACGTATTGCACTTAAAAAATACGTGCATAATTATCTTGCTTGCATATATATGCGTGTACACCGCGTACTTGCCTGGTGCCCATGGTGTTCAGAAGAGAGTGTTGTATCCCCTACAGCTACAGTTAGTGATGGCTGTGAGACATCATGTGAGTGCAGGAAATGAGCCTGGATCCTCTGCAGGCGCAACAAATGTTCTTAACCACCGAGCCAGCTCTCCAGCCTCGCATATTACACATTTTCAGGAAGATTTACGAATGGAACACTTGCGCCTTCAGCTCTTCTCACCGGGGTCCTACACCTCTAAAGTGAACCCTGAGATTTAGTGCTAGTAAGACTGCCAGAGACCGGAACCCAAAGCATGGGCTGTACAGCGTCGCCGGACCTTGTTTTTGCGGACACAGAGGTCGGAAGTGAGGAGGGCGGGGTCGGGCGCTGTGTGGCCAAGTCAGCGGACCTGCTAAGATGCTGCTGGATTTGTCCGAGGAGCACAAGGAGCACCTGGCCTTCCTGCCGCAAGTGGACAGCGCAGGTAAGGGAGTGCGGGGCGCTTGCGGCGGAGACAGTTCGGGGGACGGACCGGCACTCACGGCCTGCTGACTTCCGTTGCAGTGGTCGCCGAGTTCGGGAGGATCGCTGTGGAGTTCCTCAGACGGGGATCTAACCCGAAGATCTACGAAGGCGCCGCCAGTAAGAAAGGGAAGAGGCAGGCTCTGCCTGTCGAGCTGGAAAGGGCTTTGCATTCTCTTTCGCTCAGCCCTGCAGGGTTCTTTGGAAGCCCTAGGGTCCTGTTCCCGTTGTAGCCCTTTAAAAACCTGCCAAGCTGTCAGTCACGGTGCAGCCTCTGAAAGCAAGCTGTGTGATTTTAAAGCTCGTCTGAAATAAGTATCTTCATATTTAAAATGAATTCAGTACCGCCTGCCTTCCAGAAATACTGTAGTGCTTGATAAAATATTGCATGCTGAAGAGGTGGAACCGTTAGATTAGCTGAGAACATCATTCAAGCGTTTGGTTGACATTTGCTGCCCAGAAACTGCTTTTGCTGAAGCTGGAAGAGGGTGGTGGTGAGATTGAGAACATGCCTGTTGAATTCTTCTTCTGCCCGGGCTTGAAGGGCCTTTGTGTCTCGCTTTCGTTATGCTTGGTTGGAGGGATGGTTGGTGGGGGAGTTGAGAAGGAACAGGAGTCTCCACTCAACTCATTTTCATTGTACTGTTTGAAAACACAGAGTAATTGAACGTGTTTATTTTTAAACAAATGGGTAATCTGTTCCTTTTTTCTTTTTCTTAGGAAAACTCAATGTGAGCAGTGACACTGTCCAGCATGGTGTGGAAGGATTAACCTATCTCCTCACTGAGAGCTCAAAGCTTATGGTAAGGCTTCTGGGAACGGTGTTGTATTAGCCAGATCCTTTCAAATAGGCACCTGTTATAATACTAGTAATTCAAAATCGAATTTGTGCAGTGTTGATGGCATTATAATTGTCTCTAATTCTATATCATGTGCCATCATACATGTATCCTAGGAGAGGAGAATGAAATATTGCATTTTGTATCAGTAGTCAGTATCTGGCTTGATGAAAAAATAGTAAATAATATTGGGCATCTTAATTCTTTTTATATTTTAATAAGGTTATTTTGTGTGTTAGAAACTTGGATTTTGGAATGGGGTCAATGACTGTCTTTAACTATAAGGAACATTATAGACAGAACTGAGTTAGATGATAGAATGTCCTTTTGTGTTCAGAAGTGTTTTAGCATTTATTAGACAAAGATAAATTCCAGTGTTCTTTTGAACTCAATCTATCTTTAGATTTCTGAACTGGATTTCCAAGACTCTGTTTTTGTTCTGGGATTCTCTGAAGAGCTGAACAGATTATTGCTTCAGCTTTATCTGGACAACAGAAAGGAGATCAGAACGATTCTGAATGAGCTGTCACCCAATCTTCCCAGTTACCATAGTCTTGAATGGCGGCTAGATGTGCAGGTATTGCTTGCTTGATTCCTTTCTTCCTACCTTCCTTTCTTCCTTCCTTTCTTTTAAATCTGACATAGACTATAAGAATTATTTATGTGCTCTGTTATTTACCAGCTTAACCAAGCTCTAGTTTGGGAAAAAAAAAAAAAAAAAAAAGTACATTTTAATGGTCATTTTGGGGTCATTTCACAAATAGCTCATTACCTTTTATTTTTAATATGATTTACTGAGTTTAATTTGCAAAGGTTTTTACTTTGTTTTTATTACATGTATTTATTTAATATAAGTATATATACATGGCACTTGTGTAGAGGTCAGAGGACAACTTTCAGAAGTTTGTTCTGAGGCATTGAACTCAGGTAGTTAGGCGTAGCAGCAAGTGTCTTAACTTTGAACCATTCCAAAGATCCTAATTTGCAAAGGTTTTAAGAAATTATTTTAGAAAAAAGTTAAGATTTTAAAAAACAGATTTGTTTGGTTGGTTGGTTGGTTGGTTTGGTTTGGTTTTATTTTGACAATGCTTTATTTTTTTTAATTCTCCTTAAACACAGCACACAAAGAAAAGTGTATAGGTCCATGTGCTCACTAAGTATCACACAGTCACATACTCATAAAATGGATGTGACCTCAGTTCTAATAATATTAGTATAAAATTTAGCCTGCAAAGCAAAAAATTTAATATCTCCCCTTTAATCCAGGTATTGCTAATAGGAATCAAAGTCTGTGAACCATTATCACAGAGGAGCCTTTGTGATATGAAGTAACTTAGTCAAAATGGGTCACAGAAATTTGGTAAGAATTTAGATGAGGTGTAGCAGACGATCGAAAGCCCTCGTAGATTCTTTGGTAAAGATTAAAGCCTCCATCTAAAAAAGTTAATTTGGCATCCTTGGGTGAATCTGTTTTCTTATCTTTTAAATTGCAGTTCATTCATTCATTCATTCATTCATTCATTCATTCATTTTGTTTTGGGGGTAGGGTTTCTCTGTGTAGCCCTGATTATGGAACTCAAGCTATAGATAAGACTGGCCTTCAATGCAGAGATCCACCTGCCTCTGCCTCCCAAGTGCTGTGTTTAAAGGCATGCATCACCACCGTCTGCTTTAAATTACAGTTTGGATTAGGACTCAACAAACTGGCCACATCTTACCTACTACTTATCTCTATAAAAGTTCAGTGGATATAGCCATGTTTATTTGCATATATGGCTACTCTCAAAACACAAAAACAGAACTGAGTCATTGTGCCAGAAACTTTATGGTATGCACAGTCTAAAATACTTGTTATCTGGCTCCTTATATGAAAAAAAAAAAAAATGTACCAACCTCTCCTTTTTTTTTTTTTTTTTTTTAAGATTTATTTATTATGTATACAGTGTTCTGCCTGCAGGCCAGAAGACAACACCAGATCTCATTATAGATGGTTGTTGAGTCACCGTGTGGTTGCTGGGAATTGAACCCAGGACCTCTGGAAGGGTAGCCAGTGCTTTTAACCCCTAAGACAGCTCTCCAGCCCTTCTCTCCTTTATTTTTTATTTAATTTAATGAATGAATGACTTTGTTTATTATATTTTGGCTCTTTGAGACAGGGTCTCCCTGTGTAGACTGAATGTCCTGAATGTTGCTATGTGGACTAGGCTGGCCTTAAGTATGTGCCTTTTTATCCTGCCTAAGGAATTATTCCATACCAAAGGTTTCATTTATAGTCTAATTTTTTTTCTTTCCAGATGTCTTAAAGTTACTTTTCATTTTGAAGTTTGTGATTCATCTCAAATTTGATTTTTACATGGCATAGTGTAATTGTAAATGCTATCTACACAAAATAATTATTAGTTACTGCACTCCTTTTGTGTTTCCAAGCTTGCAAGCAGAAGTCTCCGGCAACAAATTAAACCAGCAGTGACCATAAAGCTGAACCTCGATCAGAATGGCGACCACAACACCCATTTTCTGCAGACAGACCCAGCCACCCTGCTTCATGTGGTGCAGCAGCTGGAGCAAGCGTTGGAGGAAATGAAAACGAACCACTGCCGGAGAGTAGTCCGCAGCATCAAGTAGCTCTAAGTTCACTTCCTCTCAGCTGGCAGCACAGGAGTCGCAGTAATTCGTCTGGATTTCATGGAGTTTCTTTTCCTGTTCAAGATGTTGAAATCTTGATCAAAAGCTAAAGTACAGTTCCTTTCTGGTGCTAAATGCAGTCAACCTCTTGACAGATTGAGATACATTTTCTATTTTAAATATGTAAATAGGATGGACTCAGCTAAAAGGAATCAGTATTGTTCATGTCTTCTGTTTATATGTAACTCTTTTGGCTTGGGTATTTGTTGTCTGCTTTATTTTGTCCTTGATCAAAATTTGAAAATAAAAGTCACTGTTACTACTTAAAACTGTGTCTAGACAGTTCAATGGTTTTTTTGCTTCTAAAAGCACTAAACAATTACAGCCATAGAAAAAGATTTTTACAAGTTTGTCTATATTGTTACAGACAGCTTATATAATCTTGTTTGTATGTGAAGATGACAAATAGCATTTACCATATGGCTTACATTTGAGTTAGAGCTAATTGATTTAAGTGATAAACCAATCTGTGTGGTCCTAACGTGCATTTTATTCTCCCCATTCCCAAAGCAACTAAGACACAACATCTTTTACATTTGTAAACAATGGATATAAGGGTAGTATGATCAATTCTTTCTTAAATTTTTATTTGTTTGTTTGCTTGTTTTGTGTATAGGTGTTTTGCCTACATGTATATCTGTGTACCATGTGTGTTCAGTGCCCATAGAGGCCAGAAAAAGGTATTGTATCCCCTGGAACTAGACTTACAAAGGGTTGTGAGTCTCCACTGGGTTCTGAGGCTCAAACCCAAGTTCTCTAGAAGAGCAGTCAGTGCTCTTAACCACCAAATGATCTCTCTAGCCCCAAAAAAGCCTTTTTTTAAAAAATTAATTTTTTTTATTAATTATAATTTACTCACTTTTTACCCCAGCTGTAGGCCCCTCCTCAGCCCCTTCCAACCCCATCCTCCCTGCTTCCTTTCCTCCCATGCCTCTCCCCCAGTCCAGTGATAGGGCAGGTCCTCCTCCCCTTCCATCTGACCCTGTCCTATCAGGTCTCATCAGGACTGGCTGCATTGTCTTCCTTGTGGCCTGGTAAGGCTGCTTCCCCCTCGGGGCCCGGGGGGGGGGGGGGGGGGGGGGGGAAGGGGCGGGAAGGGGCGGTAATCAAAGAGCCAGCCACTGAGTTCATGTCAGAGACAGCCCCTGTGCCCATTATTAGGGAACCCACTTGGACACTGAACTGCCATGGGCTACATCTGAGTAGGGGTTCTAGTTTATCTCCGTGCATGGTCCTTGTTTGGAATTACAGTCTCAGAAAAGAGCTCTGTGCCCAGAGTTTTTGGTTCTGTTGCTCTCCTTGTAGAGCTCCTGTCCCCTCCAGGTCTTTCATCTCCCCCTTATCTCTAGCCCCAAAATAGCCTTAATTTTTTTTTTAATTTGTTTGTGTGTGTGTTTATCCAAAAGCTCAAATGTGGAGTTAGTTCTCTCTTCCCATGCTGTGGAGCCTAGGCATAGAACTCATGTCATCAGGCATATTGACAGATACTTTCTATTTGTCATCTTAAATGTATAGACATAATTTTGTTTTTGTTTTTCAAGACAGCGTTTTCCTGTGTGGAGCTTTGGCTTTCCTGAAATTCACACTGTAGATCAGGCTGGCCTTGAACTCCCAGAGATCTGCCTCCTGAAGTGCTGGGATCATATAGGTGTGTGCCACCATGCCTGGCAGAGACATAATTTTTAATTACACTGAGAACTAAGTTAATGAAGTTAGCACATTAGCAAACCCACAGACAAACCATGGGTTAGCAGTGCATGTCACTGGGTTTACAGGTAACCTGCCTGCCAAGCTATGTGATAGCTCTGTGAGGCTTACTTGTCCACATTTGATAGAAGATGAACTAGACTGGACCCACCAATATTGAACTATTAGCCTGTGTGCCTGAAAGCAACCTTTCTTCCACCTCTTGTTTCATGGCTCTTAGCCCAAACAAAAGGTGAATGCAGTTGGCCATAGTAGCACTTGCCTGTAATTCTAATGCCTGGGAGGCAGATCTCTGGGAGTGCCAAGCCATCTCTATAACAGGTTCTAGGCCAGCCAGGGCTACATAATGAGACCCTGCCTCAACACACACCAAGAAGAAAGCATATGCCACTTAGAAAAAAAGAAAAAATCCAATTCCCTTAACTATTTTCTGTCCTGGTTGTTTCTTTGGGGCAAAGGGGAGTTGTGAGTGATCTCCCCCCACCTTTTAGACTTTGTGCATCATCAAGCATATTCTTTTTTGTTTTCCTCAGACATTATTTTATGACACATTTGGTAACTTTCAATTTTTTAATTCCTTTTTAAAAATAAATTACCTTAGCCTACAAATTAAGGGGTTTCATTGTGTTTTCTTTTTTGTTTGTTTTTTTTTGTTTTGTTATTTGGTTGTGGTTTTTTTGTTTGTTTGTTTTTGCTTTTCTGAGACAGAGTTTCTCTGCGTAGCCTTGGCTGTCCTGGACTCACTTTGTAGACCAGTCTGGCCTCAAATTTACAGAGATCCACCTGCCTCTGCCTCCCAGAGGTATGCACCACCACACCTGGCCATTATGGTATTTTCATACATATATATCATTGTACTTTATTTCATTTCATCCTCCTCTCCTACTGTCACTCCCTCTACACCTGACTCACTCTACTCTCTTCTTACTGGGCTCCCTCTCTGAATCACCCCTCTGCTTTTATATCATCTCTATTCCATCATCCTCTCTGTTTCCCTTCTGCAAGCTCTTTTTATGGTCCACATACATCTATGAATGCATACTAATTTAAATCTAGACTGCATAATGAAAACTTGGTATTTGCCTATATTTTTCTGTTTAACAATGATTTACAGTTGTATTCATTTTCATTCAAATGTCAAAAGTCCATTTTTCTATATATCTGAATAAATTCCATTGTATAGGGGCTTGGAGAGATGACTCACAAGTCAAGAGCACTAGCTCTGCTTGCAGAGGACCTTAGTTCAAGTTCAGTTCCCAGAACCCACATGGCAGCTCACAACTGTATATGAAACTCTAGTTCCAGGGATCTGACACCCTCTTCTGGCTTCCTGGTGGTATATAAACACACATGCAAGCAAGGCACCTGTGTGCATAAAAAATCTCTTAAAAATTCCATTGTGCTTATGTATTACATTTTCTTCATCCACTCTTGGCATTAGTTTAAAAAAAAAAACTTTTATTTACATTTCTTTTATCTTTTTCTCCCTTCTCCACCCCAGTCCCTTCCAATACCCTAACACTTGGTAAGAGAGAGAAAGGGTTAGTGGGAGAGAGGCCACAGTTCTCCTGCTGCTTCCTGCTAGTTAGGGTCATAGGGTTCCTTGGAACCGGTCCAATCCTTGTTTCAGGAGATCTCCAACTTCTTGTCTTAAAAAGAACAACCAGGAGCAGCAAGGGGGAGGCAGGAGCAGCCTTGTTTTTTCTCTGGGCTCTGGCACTTATCCTCTCTTCAGAGTCCTCAGATTTAAACTATCTGCAGCTGGCAAAGAGCTCCTCTCAGAGCCCGAATGAAGCAAATAGTCTGCTGCTGTGGACCATCTGAATCAGTCCCATATCACAGCTGGGACCAAAACAAAAACATGTTTATATCCACAACAATCCACTCATCTTAATGGACATGTAGACTATTTCTACTTTTTAGCTGTTACAGGCAGCAAGCATGAGTGTGAACGTATTTCTGTGGTAGTGGACTTAGCATCCTTTGGGTATACTCAAATAATACGACAGCTTGTGGGGTAGTTCTCTTTGTCGGTTTTGAGGGACTTCCACATGAGTTTCCATAGCAGCCCTACCAGTTCACATCTCCATCAGCAGTATAGAGTGCTTTCTCTCTGACAGTCTCGGCCTTCGTTGTCAGTTGTTTTCTTTCTTTGTCAGACAGGATCCTTACCATGTAGCCTTGGCTGGCCTGGAACTGGATGTGCAGATCAGGCTGTCCTTGAACTTGCAAGTTTAATTTGTTTTCTTGATGATGGCCATTCTGAGTGGAGTGACACAATCACAAGGCAGTTTTAATTTGAAGGATTTTTAATATTTATTTATTTTTATGTATATGAGTGCTCTGTCTGCATGTACACCTGCAGGCCAGAAGAGAGCATCAGATCACATTATAGATGGTTATGAGCCACCATGTGGTTGCTGGGAATTAACTCAGGTCCTTTGGAAAACCAGGCAGTGCTCTTAACCTCGGAGCCATCTCTCCAGCCCAAGAGTTTTGGGATTTTTTGTTTTGTTTTGTTTTGTTTTTATAACAAAAAACATTTATGACTTTTAAAGTTTATTTTTAGATATTTGTATTTTTTTCTTTTTGTTCAATTCCTTAGCCTATTTATTGATGGTATGATTTGGGTTTTTTAATGATGTGGTTCGTTTGGTTGTTGCTGTTGTAGTGGCTGTTGTTGAGATGGTCTCATGTTTTGTCGTCCAATAATACCCTTGATTTTCTGACCCTCTTCTTCCAAGTGCTGGTATTGCAATGCCACCACATTCAATTTCCCATACCTTTTTTTTTTAAATTGTTTTGTTTTGTTTTTGAGACAGGTTTTGACTGTCCTGGAGCTCACTCTGTAGACCAGGCTGGCCTTGAACTCAGAGAACTGTGTGCCCCTGCCTCCCAAGTGCTGGGATTAAAGGCATGCACTACCACCTAGCTCACTGAATTTCTTTCATGTTTAATTTTTATACTTCTTTATACCTATTAGTCCCCTTTCTGAATGAAATTTTATTCCCATTCTGTCTCTCTACTACTGATTTTTTGTTTGTTTGTTGTACAGAGGCATTTAATATCATGTAAACCCATTTGTCAATTTCTGATTTTTTTTTCTCCTATGATGTTGGAATTATGTTTTGAAAAGCCTTGGCTATGTCTTGAAGTGTTACCTATGTTTTCCTCTATAACTGTCAGTTTCAGGTCTGTAGGCCATTTGAATTATGTTTGTGCAGAGTGAGAGACATGTGTCTAAATTCATTTTACAGTTGTTTTTGTTGTTGTTTGGTTGGTCTTTCTATCTTTATTTTTCTTTTCTTTTCTTTTACAGAGTTTCTCTGTCTAGTCTTGGCTGTCCTAGACTTGATCTGTAGACCAGACTGGCCTTGAACTCACAGTGATCTGCCTGTCTCTGCCTCCCAGAGTGCTAGCATTACAGGTGTGCGCCACTGCTCCAAGGCTTATAATTATATTAAAGGAACTTTTTTTTCTCCTGAGGTAATTGTTGTCTTCGAGGCTTACTGCCTCTGTTTTCTAACCTAGGCCTACTCCTGGAAGCTTTTAGCTTCCATAA